CCCTGAATGCATCAGAATTTCAAAGTCAAATTTAGGTTTACATAGCTGTGTTGAAGATATTTGTCCAATTGGGCTTGGTTGGGACACTCCAAGCTTGCATTGACAAGTAACGTAAAGCCTGGCTAGTGACGTAGGACTGGAGTTTCTCAGCTATGTACACCAGGATTACTGATTGATTTTATCACCTGATTTACTATCTGTAGAATTTAAAGGATGACTATAGTGCCAGGAAAACATACTGGTTTTCCTGGCACTATAGTGCCCTGAGGGTGGCCCCACCCTCAGGGTCCCATTCCTGTGGCGCTGAAGGGGGAGGAAGGGGTTAATCCCTTACCTTTTTTCCAGCGCTCGGCGCTTGGACACTCCTCCCTCTTCTTGCGCATTCAGCCAGTCCATAGGAAAATCACAAAATCATTCAGCCAATCACTTTGAAAATCACAGTGAGAAGCGTGGAAGCGCCTCTAGCGGCTGTCAATGAGACAGCCACTAGAGGCTGGATTATCCCATAGGTAAACATAGCAATTTCTCTGAAACTGCTATGTATACAGCAAAAAGGGTTAAACCTAGCTGGACCTGACACCCAGACCACTTCATTAAGCTGAAGTGGTCTTGGTGCCTATAGTGGTCCTTTAATTACTTCATACTACAAGGCAGCCCTTTCCATATGTTGTCTGTAAATTTGTATAAGTGGTGTGTGACCCGGAAGTGGCAACACTACTTAAAATTAAGGTGGTTCTTCTACAAGTGGATGATGTGCTGCCGTCTCTGTGCCCTTACAATGCACCCTTCATAGGATTACAAAGGACATACTGTACATGCATTCTATTTATTTAGCAGATATTGTTGTGGAATGAAAACTTCCTGTAGATAGGGGTGCAGAATAAATGCACGTAGCCCTCAGTGCTTCTCTGTCCTAAATTTAAAATAGGACTTTTTAGTAACCCAACATAACGAGTGGGCCAGCTCCAGACATCGATACATGAGAATACAATGCACCATCCTTGTATAACATCTGTGTCTGAATATGGCTGCAAATAGTAGAAAATTCAGGATAGCAGTGTTAACCTTTTCAATGCTGATAATGAATAGGATTCAATAAACTAAAATATGTACTAGATGAGATGTCAGTTGTGTTTTTTTTTATTTATTTTTTATTTTGTTTTGGCAGCTGCTTCCTGGCTTTTTTTCTTTTCTTTTTTTTTTTTTATTACAATGAAACCTTTTTTGCTGAAAATGTCACTTTAGCTTTATTATTGTCATTACGATGCTCACTGCGTTTTTTGCTGCAATGGGAAGTCCAGAAGTATCTCGTTAAAGAAAATCTGCTTAAAGTCATAAAATTCTTATTTCAGTTTTATTTAAAAAATAAATAAATAAAAGAAATAAAAGAAAAACAAGATGCGTATTGCAGGGATTGTAGTACAAATAAGATCCTAAAACCACATCAGCAGGAATTGGTTTAGGAAGTAAGATGGCTGCTTCACGCTAAATATCTCTTTGTGGTTTATATTTATGTACCTACGTTTTATTATTTTAGCAGTTTTTGTTAAAAAAAAAAAACACAAAAAAAAGCACACTAAACCTTTTTATAAACGTTTCTCTAACATACTTCAAGTGTGCATTTTCATGCTGTAAAAGCTCAAGATAATGTGCTCTCGGGTCCATTATTCCGAAACAAAAAATTATATATTCGTTCCACTACCTTTTCTGCTGTAGAAGTGCCCAAGGCTCTCTGGAACATCTTGACTTTGATCTCTTTTGTCATATGGTTTAAATAACCTTTTACATTTCCTACGGTATTTAGGCAAGCCTCTGTCAGTCCTAACCATGTCATTAAATTTCACTCTCTCCAGCTCATATACCATATAAATAATGATTTGTCTCTCGTATAGTGTGTGGAGTGTTGTTCAAATTTATTTCTCATATTTATTTTCTTCCGATTTGGTGTAAAATAATAGTTAATTGAAGCTCTAAACACCATAAGCGTTACAGCTGTTTGTTATGGTTTTAGTGGATGTATTGTCCTTGATAACCATTTTCAAGCACTTACAACCATTATATTGGACTTTGGGAATACAGAAGTAGAATTCTCAATCTGGTCTTTGAATCCCCTGTGCAAGTTATACAGGTGAACATGCTGAGGTTTTTTTGGTTTTTGTATTATCTTACTTTGGGAGGATTGCATTTTTAAATTAATTTCAAATGCATTAAAAATGGGAGTCTCTTCCTGCCTATTTCCCTTTAACAACAAGATACTTGGGTCTTGCAAACGCCCTGCTTCCTGCATTAATAAGCCGGTTAGCTCCTCTGAGCTAAGCAGGGCTGCTCTTTTTGGATTACATGCACAGTGTAACATAGACCGTCCAGCCCTGGAAAAATGTACTTGTGTTTTGTTTGTTATGGATTATTAAACAAAGCCAATCTATGTGGGAAATAATAACAACCTAATTGACATGAAGTAGTCATGGTGCCAGTAGTTACCTGGTGCTGGTTATTTAATGGTTTAATCCTAAAGTCTGTGTTCCTGCACCAGATCTGTCTGGCCCTCTGTCCTTCCGCTTACTCAAATTCTAGAAACACTTTGCTGATATCATGTATCCATTTTTGGATAGTTCTACTTAAAAATGGCAAAATGTCCCTACATCACTTACAGATTCCCTTCTAAACATTCTAGACTCTAGAGCAGTGATGGCGAACCTATGGCACGCCGGGCACTCTCTGTGGGCACGCGGCCATAGGTCGCCGGGAGAGGGGGCTGGCTGTCTGCAGAGTAGGCACCTGCCTGCTTCCGTGTCGGGAGGACAGGGGGAGGGCTCTAGGAAGCAGCTCTCATGTCCTCCCGCGCGATGCTGTGTGTAGCGTTGCCGCTCATTACCATGGCAATGCTCCACACAGCATCTTGCGGGAGGGCAGGAGAGCTGCTTCCTTGCTGCCAGAAACATACTTACCACCAGGGATGGCTGTGATCCCCCCCTCCTTCACCAAAGGTAAGAGGAAGGGAGGGGGGGATACAGAATTAATGTCTTTTGTTTTTTTGTTTTTAATGTATTTTTACCCCTACCCCCACAGCACAGCCCACAGCACCCCTACCCCCACACAGCACAGCACCCCTATCCGCCAACACACTGCACCCCTCACACACACACACACATACACTGCACCTCTCAATGCAGTGTGTGTGTGTATTCAGCAGACTGTGTGTATTCAGCAGACTGTGTGTCCTCAGCAGTGTGTGTACTCAGCAGACTGTGTGTATTCATCAGTCTGTGTGTGTGTATTCAGCACCCCTACTGCCACAGCACTGCACCCCTACTGCCACAGCACTGCACCCCTACCCCCACAGCACTGCACCCCTACCCCCAGAGCACTGCACCCCTACCCCCAGAGCACTGCACCCCTACCCCCAGAGCACTGCACCCCTACCCACATCCCAGCAGCACTTCCCCAGCACAGCACCACCCACCACCACACACAGCACCCTTACCACCCACACAGCACCCTATCCCAAAGCTTTAGCACCCTACCCCCACACAGCAGCACAGCACACCCTACCCCACACAGCACAGCACCCTACCCACGCCAACACACAGCACTACACGCCAACACACACAGCACACCCTACCCGCCAACACACAGCACCCCTACCCTGCCAGCTTACACAGCACCTACCCGCCAACACACAGCACCCCCTACCACGCCCACACACTGCACCCTCACACAGCACTCCCACACCCACTTACACACACAAACACATACACTCTGCACTAAATGCAGTCTGTGTGTGTGTGTATTCAGCAGTGTGTGTGTGTGTGTGTGTATTCAGCAGTGTATGTACTCAGTGGTGTGTGTGTGTGTGTGTATTTAGCGGACAGTGTGTGAATGTGTTCAGCAGTCTGTGTGTGTGTGTATTTAGCGGACAGTGTGTGAATGTGTTCAGCAGTCTGTGTGTGTATGTATTGCATTTGTTGGAGATACCAATAAATATAAGCTGAATTTTATCTATGTATATGATTTATATGATTACATATATATGATCTATATGATTATTTAAAATTTGTATCATTGAACTCTATGTTGTGTTCTTTAAAAAAAAAAAAAAAAAAAGTTCTTAATTAGAAAACAACACTCTAAGAGTGCGTGAAAACCAGGAGCTGACTCGTGATAATGGCTTGATGGGACAGTAAAAAATCACATGGAATCTGCAGAGACTGGAATATTGCAAATATATATAAAAATAGAAAATAAAAAGATATAAGTGGATGTAAAAATTAAGTACTGTGCCTTTAAGAAATGTGAGCTAGAAGCTGCAGTTATAAAAATAAAAAATACAAATCAGAAATAAAACTGATAGAAATCAGAGTGAAGGTAGAAAGATGGTAAAATATGCACATAGAAGATGGAAAAAATAATAGTATAAGAATAAGAGAACTATTGAATCGGTTTGCAATGGATGAATGTACAGTGTCAGTGTCTCTATCCCTGAAGGGTGCAGGGTAAATGATACTTTCACTGAATAATATACTTTGTATCAGCAAAGATAAAAGATAAAAATATGTATCAATTAAACTGTTAATAGCTCCTGACTGATTCCTCTTCTGCAACTGTCACTAGTCTAATACTATCCTTACCTTTTTGTGCCATTTTACCCCACTCCCTCTAGCATGTAAGCTCATTGAGCAGGGCCCTCAACCCCTCTGTTCCCGTGTGTCCAACTTGTCTGGTTACAACTACATGTCTGTTCGTCCACCCATTGTAAAGCGCTGCGGAATTTGACGGCGCTCTATAAATATCATAATAATAATAATGTAATGAAATAGCAACACAGTATACGGAACTGTTTGCTTGAAGCAATAATTGTATCGCTATAGACTGAAGTTAATTGCAGAAACTGGATGAAATATAAAAACCAGTGTATTAAACCATAATAAATAATAAAAAATTATCTATAAAAATCCATAAAATACAGATCAGGAACAGTTCATGATGGTATTACCAGTCTTATGAGAATCAAATGATTGTGTGAACCCTCAGATCAACGTACGATGGATGTAGATTGAGTTGTGCAAACTCACCTCCAACTGCTGGTGAGGACGGCGTGCGTCTGTGTGTACGTCCCTCCAGGGGACTGACAGAACGGACGATTTCGGTAGATAGGTTTACCAAGGGTTCTTTGTGTGGAGTGATCTTCTGCTGGTTTGATGGATCTGTATCCTGCTTTTTTTAGTCTTGTCTTACGCGTTTCGTAGGTGAAGCCCTACTTCTTCAGAGACGGAATTCAAAAAGGTTCGCCATCACTGCACTAGAGTATCATGATATCCCATCTCCATCATGTGGATGGCATTTGCAAATGTTTTACACTGGTTTATTAACCTTAAATGTGAGCTTTGTTCCTTTGAGGTTTTTGAGTTGGAAATGATCAATGATTTAGCAGTTTGGCGATTTAAAAAAAATAAATAAAAAAAATTCAAAGCTGACATTTCCTCCTTAAGAAAGCCTTTAAATAGCACATTAGTAGAACATTCCTGCCACTAGCATTCCACTTACATCAGGTCTTTTCTCCTGGAGGTGAGATGGACCTGTCACTTAAAAGGGCTTCACATTTTATCACCAGAGCGTAAAACTGCTTATGTTATGTTTGTTATAGGCTTCTGGGATGGAAAAGAAAAACTATTTAGAAGCATTTCATTCAGTATTACCTAAATATTTAAATATGTACTTAAAGTTTCATGTCTACATTTGAATGCGGTTTAGGCTTCTGAGCCATTACCAAGTTCAACCTGGAGGAGAGGCATTATCAGAGGAGATAAAACAGACTGTTCCTGCTAGACAAGGGCTGGAGCACTAAAGTTGCGACTGTCGTTTTTATTCACAGAAAAAGTGTCCTCCATAACAATATCGAAACTGGAAAACGAATTGACTTGGAGAATTCTTTTAATTTGGCTACTGAGATTTAAAATTTGAATTTACAAATACTCCCATTTTAGTAAATAATCCTGAAATGATAAAATGTTCATCATTTACCCAAGACATACTTGTAAACTAGAGAAATCTCAATGTATCCTTCCTGGTAAAATGTTTTATAGATAAACAAATGTAAAACATATCTTGAATATTTTGTATGAAGCTAGATTAATGTTTTTTTTTTTTGTTTTTTTTGCATATACTCTTTTATATAAAAAAGCACTAGCACCATAGTTCTAACTCTCTGGTCTCCTTCTTATAAAAGCTGCAAGTTGTGTGTTTCAAAATCCTGTACCATCTCTGCCATATATGTGTGGAATGCAAGTAATATCTCCTGCAAAGCAGTAAATAAAAACACAAATTACCACCATGATTTTACTCTATACATAAAATTTTGAATATACGTTATTTCTCTTGTAGGTCAACAGAAACTGCCAGCAGGGAAGGGACTAAATATAGATATATACACACACAGTGAGGGAAAAAAGTATTTGATCCCCTGCTTATTTTGAATGTTTGTCTACTGACAAAGAAATGATCAGTCTATAATGGTAGGTGTATTTTAACAGCGAGAGACAGAATAACAAAACAAAACAAAAAAAAAATCCATAAAAACACATTTAAAAAAAAAAGTTATAAATTGATTTGCATGTCAACGAGTGAAATAAGTATTTGATCAAGATTTCTGGCTCCCATTGGTCTTTTATACAGGTAACGAACTGAGATTAGGAGCACTCTCTTAAAGGGAGTGCTCCTAATCTCAGCTCGTTGCATGTATAAAAGACAAGTGTCCACAGAAGCAATCAATCAGATTCCAAACTCTCCACCATGGCCAAGACCAAAGAGCTGTCCAAGGATGTCAGGGACAAGATTGTAGACCTACACAAGGTTGGAATGGGCTACAAGACCATTGCCAAGCAGCGATTATTTGCAACTGGAAGCAGGGCCGTCTTTAACGCGGGGCAAACAGGGCAGCTGCCCCGGGCCCTGTCCCTGCCGGGGGGCCCGAGGTAACTGCCCTGTTTGCCCTCTGCCCGCAAACTATGGGGGCCCATCGGTTGGCCCATGCACTTAGGGCCACCCAGTGGGCCTGTGTCAGCAGGGGCCGGTCGGGCGCTGTGGCGCTTTAACAGCGCGACCAGGCCCTTGCTTTTCGGCAGCACTGGGAGGAAGTGACAGCCGTGCGTCACTTCCTCCCACAGAAACAGGAGCCGCGCGGGAGGAAGGAGGACCAGCTGTTCCGGAGGGGGGAGAGCTTAACTCCCAGTCACCCCAGCCAGCCCACTGAACCCCAGGGAAGCCACCCTCCAGAAAAAGGTAAGAAACTGGAGGGTGGTTATCAAATTTTGCATGAGTGTGTCAGTATGTGTGTATGTCTGTTAGTGTGCCTGTATGTCTGTGTGTGTGAGAGTCTGTCAGTGTCTGTGTGGTTCAGTATGTCTGTATATGTGTGTATGTCTGTCAGTGTGTCAGTATGTCTGTGTGTGTGAGTCTGTCAATGTCTGTGTGGTTCAGTATGTGTGTATGTGTGTTTCAGTATGGCTGTCTGTGTGTTTCAAAATGTCTGTATGTGTGTTTCTGTCAGTGCCTGTGTGTGTCAAAATGTCTGTATGTGTGTGTCTGTCAGTGCCTGTGTGTATGTGTGTGTCAAAATGTCTGTATGTGTGTATGTGTGCCAGTATGTCTGTCAGTGTGCCAGAAAATCTGTGTGTGTGTGTCTGTCAGTGTCTGTGTAGTTCAGTATGTATTTGTGTATGTGTGTTTCAGTATGGCTGTCTGTGCGTGTCAAAATGTCTATATGTGTGTATGTCTGTCAGTGTCTGTGTGTGTGTGTTTCAGTATGTCTGTCTGTGTGTATGTGTGCCAGAATGTCTGAATGTCTGTCAGTATGTCTGTGTGAGTCTGTCAGTGTCCATGTGGTTCTGTATGTCTGTGTTTGTCAATATGTCTGTGTGTATGTATATTTCAGTATGTCCGTCTGTCTGTGTGTATATGTGCCAGTATGTCTGTCAGTGTATATGTATGTCAGTGTCTGTGTGGTTCAGTATGACTGTCTGTGTCAGTACGTCTGTCAGAATGTGTCTCTGTATCTGTATGTTTTCTGTTTGTGTGTGTATCTGTATGTGTCAGTGTTTGTATCTGTATATCTGCATGTGTTTTAGGTTGTGTATCTGTGTGTCTGGATTTGTGTCAGTGTGTGTGTGTATCTATATGTAGTCAATGGGTGTACCTTTGTATCTGCATGTATGTCAGTGTTTATATCTGTGTGTATGACTATGTGTGTGTCAGTGTATCTATATGTAGTCTGTGTGTATCTGTATGTTCTTGTGTGTATCTGCATGTGTGTCAGGTAGTGTATTTGTGTGTATCTATATATAGTCAGGGGGCCCAAGTAAATACTTGCCCAGGGTCCAATCAAAATTAAAGACGGCCCTGACTGGAAGAAACACAAAATAACGGTCAGTCTCCCTCGGTCGGGTTCTCCATGCAAGATCTCACTTCGTGGAGTTTCAATGATCATGAGAATGGTGAGGAATCAGCCCAGAACTACACAGGAGGATCTTGTTATTGATCTCAAGGTATCTGGGACCATAGTCACTAAGAAAACAATTGGTAACACACTACGCCACGAAGGACCGCAATCCTGAAATACCCGCAAGGTTCCCCTGCTCAAGAAAGCACATGTACAGGCCCTTCTGAAGTTTGCCAATGAACATCTGAATGATTCAGAGGAGAACTAGGTGAAAGTGTTGTGGTCAGATGAGATCAAAATCTAGCTCTTTGGCATCAACTCAACTCGCCGTCTTTGGAGGAGGAGGAATGCTGCCTATGATCCCAAGAACACCATCCCCACCGTCACACATGGAGGTGGAAACATTATGCTTTGAAGGAGTTTTTCTGCTAAGGGGACAGGACAACTGCACCGCATCAAAGGGATGATGGACGGGTCCATGTACCGTCAAATCTTGGATGAGAACCTCCTTCAATCAGCCAGGGCTGGATCATGGGTCATGTATGACAATGACCCAAAACACACTGCCAAGGCAACAAAGGAGCGGCACATTAAGGTCGTGGAGTGGCCTAGCCAGTCTTCGGACCTTAATCTCATAGAAAATCCGTGGAGGCAGCTGAAGGTTTGAGTTGCCAAATGTCAATCTCGAAATGACTTGGAGAGGAGCGGGACAAAATCCCTCCTTAGATGTGAGCAAACCTGGTGGACAACTACAAGAAACGTCTGACCTCTGTGATTGCCAACGAGGGTTTTGCCACCAAGTACTAAGTCGAAGGGGTCAAATACTTATTTCACTCCTTGACATGCAACTCAATTTATAACTTTTTTAGTGTGTTTTTCTGGGTTGTTTTTTTTTTTTTTTTGTTATTCTGTCTCGCACTGTTTAAAATACATCTACGATTAAAAAGGTGATCAAATACTTTTTTCCCTCACTGTATATGCATATAAAATATATACATACATATATACAATATGTATGTGTGTCTGCCTTGGGTCTCCTTGTTTGCATCCCCTGCCTTGTTTTTGCATTTCTTTCTGAAACTGTCAGAACCAGTCACTGTCTATTAATATAATTGAGAATTGAGCAAAGCTATTGAGTGGAATAATTACGCAATTGTAGCCAAGATTTGCTGACCACAGCAATGTAATAAACCATAAGCATGGTCGGATAAGAAGCTAACTCAGCATCATTAGGTAAGTCTAGTGTTGACAGCTGTATATGCTTGGAATGTAAAGAAAATATTTGCCTACAATACATTTCTATACATGTTTTATGTGCTGTTCATTAATAAGTTCCCTCTTACAAGTCACGGCATTTAAATTCCGTAATCTACCTCTTATTCACTTTTAGATTTAGTCTGCCACCTAGTGGCAAATATAAGGCTTACCGTTTATGATGTCTATTTTTAGACATAAGTATAATAATGCTTTTAGAAAACACCATTACATTGCAAATTCATGTACAGAAAACTATTATCAAAAAAGAAAAGAAAGTATTGAGAGTACACAAGTATTGCCTGGTACTCGGCCTTAGTATTTCCAGCAGGACACCTTCAGTGATTGTAGCAGCTCACCCAAACATCAGCCGAGACTTGATGAAATGTGAAAGTGTTTGTAGCCCTGATTACCATACACTAGTCGAGACTTCTAAAGTTTAAAAGAAGCACACTTTGTTGGAAAGGCCTGCACATATTTATATACAAGAGAATGTGTATTGGAACAGTAGGAGTGACCCACAGAGCAATGACCGTTCCCTCCTTGGG